AGCAGTCAAAACCAGGCCAGATGCCAACCGTGGAACAGACCATCAATTTACTCACATGCAAGTTCAAACTGAAGCTGAAGAAGATTAAAGCAGGTCCCTGAGAACCAAAATACAACCCTGAGTCTATGTCACCTTAAGTTAAAAATTATCCCAAGAACAGGTTTGAGGCATTGACCACTAACGATCGAAGACCAGATGAGTTGTAGGAGGACACCAAGGAAATCATCCAGGAAGAGGGCAAAAGGTCATTATTAAGACAGAGAAGAAAGAAAAGACAGAAACAGGTGTCAGAAGAGACTCTAAAAATTGCACTAGAAGCATTGAGAAGCCAAAACCAAAGGAAAAATTAAAAACAACTACTCCCCCCCATAAAGGAATGTTATGTCTACAACCGCCGAGGGGGTGAAAGATAAAAGCACAAAATCCGACAGGATTCTGACTCATTAAACACTTCCCAGCAGATGCCTGGGCCTGTCATGCTGAAAGGTGAGATGTTCAGAAAACCTTTCAGAAAGTCCACAGTTTTCACACTTAGTGAACAAAATGGTACATTTCACAAGGGTGCCAGCTTTTAATTGCTTGTTCTTGTTGTGTGCTGTCCAGTCCGAAGTAAACTATAGCTGACCCTCCAGCAGATTCTCAGAGGCTATAACTTGCACAGAAGGAGAACGTCCATCCTTCTCCCACAGAGCAGTTGCTGGATTTGAACCTCATGCCTTTAGGATTGAAATGCAGCTTCTTACCACTAGGCCACCACAACTTTCATTAATTGCTTAATGTTCGCTAACGTTTGCAATTTATCATGACCATTTCCAGTGGACAGGTCAGGACTCTAGCTTGCATGTTGAAATTACCCAAATGGTAGCTCAGTCAGGGAGAGATTTCCTAACATCTCCATCAGTGTACCCGATTATAGTACATTCATGGGTCTTTACAAAACTATGTTTTCATGTGACTCCTGCATTTAAGACCAACTGTTCCTATTCATCCCCCTTTTCATTCCCCAAAACCATGTTCTCCAGCACTTTGTTGGAGACAGAAAAACAAAGATTCTGACCCTGCCCTCCGGCGCTCACCATCTCGGGTTTTTACAAAACTCATTTCCCCTTAATTCCATGCCTATTTATACATTCATTTATTAGCATTCATTATGAGAACCGAAGGATCATTCTAGCATTAGTCAAACACTCTCATGCCATAAATTATAGTATTATTTCTTCTCTAAATGAGTACTTTGTTAAAGATTATCTAAAAGCAACTATTTGGTGCTGAACTGTGCATGGATTGAATCCATTTAAATGCAAACTAGGTCCTAATGAACCCAAGCAACATCTCCTGTTTACTGAGATCAAGGCTCTTAGAAAAAGTCCTGCTGCTGCTGCGGTTAAGCAATTGGCTATGAACGGAAACGGTCAATGGTTTGAACTCACCAGCCGCTCCAAGGAAGAAGCAACTCTAACAGGCTTCTCTAGAGGAATATACAGTGGATGGACTTACAACCTTGGAAACCCCACTGGGCAGTTCCCCGCACTGTCCGGTAGTCACCATGAGTTAGAATCAATGGGTTTGAGTTTATGACTCTTGGACAATATCTATCACTGGTTGAAAACAAACAAAATCTCCGAGGTAGACAGAAGCCTCTAACTACTCCGCACTGTCAGAAAAGAGTTACTAATTCACCTAAAATACTTTTATCTCCTTTGATGCACAGAAGAATCTCAGAAAATAGATTTGTAACTGTGCTTGAAATCTGTACGGTGTATGGATGTAGAATTCCCCCGACACTTCTGATCCCCTCTTTCCCAACGTTTATATTGAAGAGAATCATGCAAATGGCATTTTGCTGAAAATATTGGACAATCTTGGTTTCTTGCAAGTGAATCTGAGGCTGTTAATTATGCTGTTCTTATGTGCCAACAAATCAACTCCAGCTCAGAGCTTGTTGTTTTATGTGCTGTCAAGTTGCCTGTAACTCATGGTGACGCTATGTACAACTCAGAGCTACCCTGTAAAAAATGGATCTGAACCGAGTCCTATGTTGTGTGAGCTTCCTGGCTCAAGCCCATTGTGACAGTCTCTGTAAGTTTCTGTGTCAAGCCATCTTGTAGAGGGTCTTCTTCTATGACCCTTCCAACACTTCTTTTGCCAGGGTCTGACCCCTCCTGACGGCATGCCTCAAGTATGTGGGATGAAGTTTCACCCTCCTTGCCTCCACGGGGCACCTGAGTTGCACACCTCTAATGTAGTCAAATGTCCCGCTCCTGATAGAGGGCTCCTGAAGGACACTGTCATTAATAAGTACACACCCATCAGTCAAGTCACTCCACCTGTCTAAGCTGAAGTTGACAGCTAAAACCCACATATTTTTTTTATTTGTGTGTGTGTGTGTGTGTGTGTGTGTGTGTGTGTGTGTGTACCATCAAATTGGATCTGACTGGTACAAGAGGAGTTTGCCCCTCCTTCTCCAGCACAGCCTCTAGTGGATTTGAACCACGTACCTCTGGGATTACAGTGCAGCTTCTTGCCAGTAGGCCACCAGAGCTCCCTTAAAACCCACATATTTTAAATGCAAAATGGGCCTAGCTGGCAGTGCCTTTGATATCAGCAAGAACAGGAAACATACACATATTGCCACTGCTATCCTGATCTATTTCCCCAAAAATGTGTTTCCTTATAAACACTTGGGCAATAGTTTTCTACTAGTACATGGAGATCTTTGCTTTTGACCTGGTGTCTCCCCACAGCTGCGCAGGAGAAATCAGGCAGTCTTCTCTACCTACATCTTACTAAGGAAGAACTTTCACACCCAAGTTCACCCCCTAGGACAAGCAGACTGTATAAAGGTCGGGAAGCTCTAAGTGAACTGAACTTGTCTGGGCCAAGCTTTACCCTCTTCAAGCACACAAGCTATCAGCCCGGTCGGTAAGAAGTACATATTTTCTTTTCTCCTACATCTGCCCTTTGAATAACAGGTTTGAACTCTATGAGCCCCACCCTATGTTTTAAGTCTGCCAAAGAACACTTAGCCACAAGGGATCCAAAATCGCTGGAATCTACCAGAAAAGAGAGACCATCCTCACAAAGTATGGCTGGCCACACTCCCCACAACAGCCCTGAGCCCACACTTGAACTTATGCCCATCTCTTCAACCCTGCCCCCAACCCTCACCCTAACAAGAAATGAAATGCATAAAATCCCACACAAGGATCGAAACTACGTCCCCAGAGCCCGAAGATCTACAGAATGAAGGCTCTAACCAAGAAACAGGCTAGGTCTCCCGCTGGGTGAACAAAAATCCCATCTTCAAACTTGAGTAGATTCCATGCTCCATCTGGAATTCTTGTAGAATTCCAGTAGAATCAACATTCATTTCTAATATTCATGTTATCAAAGAGGAGCTTTGCATTCAAATAAACAAAAAAAAAAACAAACTTTCAAACTTGCAGAAGGCGAGAACAGACAGAGAACTTTGAGCAATCTTATGGTTCTCATCAATGAGTTCTAACAATCATAAAGGCCAATGGAGACCTGAATATGGTAGTATCTGGAGCTCTGACTACCAATGTCTGGAAAAGTGAGGCGGGAAACGCCTTTTCAGGAGAAGGAGAATAGAATGATTTTTATACTGAGCACCCACTACATGGGCCAGTCCTTAGTTTAGGCCATTATGCTTGGAAGGATAGAGAGTCAGTGCAAGAGAGGAAGACCCAGGATGAGATTCACAGAGTGACCATGGCAATGGGATCAAGTGTGTTGGAGATGGTGAGGTCAGCGCAGAACAGGGCTAAGTTCAGAGCTTTTGTTCATTGGGTGGCAAATGGGTGGGAGACGACACAACTACACTTAACAATAGTATGGCAAGGGCTAGGCAGGGTACCAACAGACAGGAACTTGGTTAAATCTCAGCCGCTCAAGAAGTCACCTTCTTGTCCTCACTTCCTCAGATGATAAAGCAGGGACTCAGAAAGCCTCAATTCCTTGGGCCCAAAAGATGCACACAATCCAGTGAAGGGCTAAGGACTGAACCCAAACTAGAGCAGGAGAAGAACTTAAGGACGATGTGTTTAAAAATGTGAACCCTCCAAGAAGTTTGTTCTAACACTCTCCAAAGAGTTTGTTTTAAAAGCTACAGCTTCCCTCACTAGAAAAAATATTTCAAAGTTAAGCTGGGGCCTTTTTTTCTTTTCCTTTCTTTTTTTTTTTTTTTTTAATGAGGTACTCAACCAGCTCTTTTAATGAAAATGACTTTTCTATGTATGGATTAAAATGTTTCACTGCAATAACACCCCACCCACGGGCCCCAGTTTACCAGGACTATTTGCAGCCCCACCAATGCCAATCCCTCCACGCATTAAAGTGTCAACAGGTTAAAGCTGCAACCTCCAGACAGAACTCTTTTCAGAAGTTATACTACCTCCATGGGTGTTTTTCAGTTGCTGGACATTTCAAAATACATGACAGTACAGATTTAGCAAAAGAAGTGCCATTGTTTCTGATCTCAAACATTTAACAACAAGTACCCTGTCGTTCCCAGGACTGCAAACACGCACAGGCAGTAAAACTTGGAGGTTCTGGGTGTGGAGACGGGCTTTAGTTTTTGTTTGTTTTTGTTATAGTTTTTAAATCTGCAGGTCAAGCAAATGGTGACCAGATAAACCTTACTGACATCAGCCTCTTGGCAAATCCAGCTCTCCAAGTCCTTGGCCAACACCGTTTATTTATTTACATCCACCCCTCTAAGCCATCCACGCTCTTTTCCACGGCAAGTCAGCAGGTGTCCCAGATGAAACTGTAGAGTATCACACCCCATCGTTTAACACATGTCTCTGATGGACTCTGGGGCCGATTCTTTTTCAATTAGGAGTTGAAATCCTATACCACGGGGTGGTTAACCCCCGAGGACCCAGATCAGAGCAGGAGAGCTCTGAGGCGTGGAGAGGTCAAGTGAGGCGGCGAGGAAGGGACACCCACTTATTCCAAGGGCTCCCCAGGTAACTCACCAGAATCCCCATCACATCGGTCCAGAGCCGGGAGAACGCCTCGCTCATGCCGGCCGCCGGCTCGGACTCCGTCTCGGGCTCGGGCTCGGGCTCCGGCTCGGGCTCAGGTTCCGGCTGCTGCGCGGGCTCGGGCTCCGGCCCGGGGCCAGCGGCTCCCGCGTCCTCCATGGCCGGGTGTGCGGTGCCCCGGGCGGCGCCAGCGGGCATGCCCTCCCCACCGCAGTCCAGGTGGCCCGGGCTGCGCGCGCGCGCACGGCTGACAACTCCCGAAACTTTCCCGGCGGCGCGGCCCCCGCGAAGCACCAGGCGAAGCCGGCACCACTGCGCTCCGCCGCGGGGACTCGAGTCTGTCCCGGGGCCGCTCGCCCCGCCGCCAGGCGCTTCCTCCTGGGAAGGCGGCCCAATGACTAAGGCGCACGGCTCGCGGCTCCGCCAGTGCCTGGCTGCGCCCTGCAGGGGGGACCCTGGTGCCTCGGGCACTGGGGAGCAGCTCCTAGGGACCCCTCTCTTCAAAATGAGCTCTTCCAGCTCCACATGACTCTCCCCTCGAGGCAAAAGAAAGCGTTTAGCAACAAAAGGTGCTCTGATGTCAGGCTCTCGGCATGGAAATGAGCCCGGGACCCGGGAACAAACCGCCTGCAGGAAGGCCAGCCGCCCGGGGTCCTGTGCTTTCTGCGATCACGCCCCCCTCGGCCGCAGCCCGGGTCCCCGCGCCCCCAGCAAGTTCATCTTGCTGCGGCGGCTGCCTGCAGAGTTCAGAGTCTGAACCCGGCCGCCTGGTCCACGCCTCTCCCCTCCTGAAGTCGCGCCACCTAAGGAAATCAGCGCCCTGCCTCTGCCAGCCAAGCCTTTGCAGGAAAACACGGGCTGCGAGCTGGGCCTCGAGCCATTGTTTGTATGGGTTTTTTATGAGTGGGGCCGGGATGGCTACTGAGCGCCCACAATGCACGGCACTGTTGGGGGGTTCAACTAATTAGAGCCACTGAGCTTTGGGGCTCAATGAATGGCCCCTTCACACGAAGGCCTCGGGGAAGGGCTGTTTTCCAAACTCCATATTAGAGTCCTAGCCATCCCGCCCCACTTGGGCCTGTGTTTGTTTTTCCGAAGAGTCGATTCCTGTCGGATTTACTTTACGAGGGAGGTAACCCTATGGAGGTGGTTCTTCTCTGGGGCTTTATTCTTACAGAACCACACAGAGGGTTTCCCCCAGAGAAGACAGTACCGGTCACTTTGGATTTTCTGACTGAAACTTGGAAGGTTTTTGAATGGGGCAGATAATCAGGTGGGGAGGCCCGAGGGCAGAGGTTTTGCTAATTTTACAGACTTCTGATTTGAGTAGATGGGTTTTTTCCCTCTCCATTTCTGAACTCAGATAAAAGGAAGGGGGGTCATAGGGCGTCCTCCAAATACTCTCACTAAAGCCAAATTACTGGGAGCAGCCGATCAATGCAAATGGATGGATAACCCCATAAGAAAATGAAAATAGTTAACTCAAAAAGGACATTTATAGGCATAATCCTGTGGGCAACTTTCTTGAAAGGGAAGGAAAAACAATGAGAAAGTTCTTCCTGAACAGGAGGAAGGGGTGTTGAAAGGGAAGGAAGGCTGAACTGAGTCACAGGGCCTAGGCCACAAGCTCTTCTGTGAGGGTACAAGAAATAGACCAGATGGATTCCAAGGATCCCTCCTGTTCCAGGATGCTAGAAACTCAATACGTTTAGTTTGAACATCGCAGGCTTGGTTATTTCTTTTCTTTCTTTTTTTAATCCCATGGATAAAAATGTTAAAATTAAACATATTTGTGTTTTCTCAGAAAATGTTTTGGAATTCTAACCCTTAAACCTATTGGATGTAAACAGGGGAGTAGAGCTCTTTGTTATGCTAATGAGGCCCTATCAGTGTGGGTGGGTCTTAAACCTGACCACTTTTGAGTTGTAAATAGAGCAGATTAGACCAGGGAAAGGCAACAGGAGTGGAGTAGTGGTGTTAGAGTCTAGGAGTGACCCCACACGGCAGAGGAGAGCCACCCCACTGGTTTTTCCCCAGGGGGCTCTGATAGCTTTGTTGTTGTCAATCAAGTACGACTCATGTGGTGGTGGTGGTGTTATGTACCCTCTAGTTGTCCCTTGTGACTCAGAGTGACCCAAAGTACTGCAGCTCTAAACCCTGCTCTATCTGGAGCCAATCTTTGACACACCTACCCCCACTACCACAGTCATTGAGTCGATCCATCTCATCCATGGTCTTCCTTTCTTACCATCCCTCCACCCTCCCAAGGGAAGATGTCCCTCTCCAAGGACTGGCCCCTCTTTGCAACATGCCCAAAGTGTGTCAGACGAAACTTCAAAGTCCTTGCCTCCAAGGAACAGCCTACAACAGACCTGAACTCTGTCTATACTGTGCTGTCCTCATCATCTCAGAGCAGTGTTACAGTCACTGTGTAAACCATCTTGATGGGGTGCTTCCTCTCTTTTGCTGACCTTCCACTTTTCCAACCATGATATCCGTTTCCCAGGAATGACCTCTCCTTGCAACATATCCAAAGCATGAGGGATGAAAGTTCACCATTCTTGCCTGTAAGGACCACCCTGGCTGCACTGTTCCCAAGACATAACTGTTTGTTCTTTTGGCAGTCCATTCAGTACTCTTCCAACGTCACAGTTCAGAAGCATCGCTTCTTCTGTCATCCTTATTCATTGTCCAGCTCTCGGATACATGTTGTAGTTGTGCTCGACCCAAAGGACCCTTATGAAAAACAGATCGGAACCCTGTCCTGTCCTATGCCGTTCTCACAATTCCCAACACACTAGAAGAGCCCATTGTGGTAGTCATTCTGTCATTCCACCTGGTTGAGAGTTTTCCTCTCCTTTGCTGACCCTCTGCCTTTCTGAGCATCATGTCCCTCTCCAAGGACTAGCTCCTCCTAGCAAAGTACCTGATGTATATGAGGTGAAAATTTATCATCTTTGCTTCACTTTCTCTAACACATATCTCTTTGTTCTTTGGACAGTTCATAGGCTGCAATACTCTCCTCCAATACCAAAGTTCAAAGGCATCAGATGCATATTGTTGTTATGTGCCTTCAAGTTGCTTGTGCCTCATAGTGACTTTACGTATATCAGCTCTGAACCCTGTTCTATCTTGAGCCAACCTCATTGCCTCTGACATACCTACCCCATTACCCCAGTCACTGAGTTAATCCATCTCATCCAGGGTTGTCTCTCTTGTACTGTCCCTCCCTTCTTCCAAACATGCATGTTGTTGTTGTCATATGCCATCATTTGTGACTCACAGTGACCCTATGTACAACACTCCTAAACCCTGCTCTATCCTGTACCAACCTCACTGTCTCTGACACACCTACTCCCATTACCCCAATCACTGAATCGATCCATCTCATCGAGGGTCTTCCTCTCCTGCACTGTCCCTTCACCTCTCAAACATGACACCCCTCTACAAGGACTAAAAAGACCATGGCCTGAATCAGGTGCATTGTAGTCTCTAAACGGACATCAATGCTCTTCAGTATTTTGGAGAGGTCCCTTATAGTGAACTTTTCCAAGGCAATATGTCTCCTGATCTTCTGACTGCTGGTACCGAGGATGCTGACTGTTGATCCAAGTAAGATGATATCATTCACAGTTTCAATCCTTTCTCTTTCTATCACGACAATGTTCTGCCAATATCAAGTTATGTGGTTCGGATCCACCACTTGCTCCTCTAGAGAAAGGTGAGCAATCTCTTCCCTTGGGACTTACTGCCTCTGAAAACCCACTGGTCAGTCAGCTATGGGACAGTTCTGAGTGGACAGTACTCAACAGAAGCACACCAGCTCTTTCTCCTGAGGGGAAGCTGGGTGGGTTTGAAATACCCACCTCAAAGCTATTGTGCCACCAAGGCTACTTGGTGTAAAGAGAGAAGGAACTATTTATACCCCCCCCACACACACACACACACAAACCATTAAATATGTAATCAGTGTCATTGAATTGTAACTGTAGAAGTGGGCGTGTCATCTCATACCCAGTGGAGCTTGCCAAGGCACCACCAGCCCAGCGTGACAGAGAGAAGCTGGGACAAGCATCTTCCCCCAGAACTGGCGCAAAAAGAGCACCTTCTATTATAGCCAGCGATCTGAGTTTGAAGAGTGATATGAACTTGACATTGCTTGATGGCTTAGCAGGTAGAGAATTGCACTGTGAACCCAAAGGCAGGTAGCTTGAATCCACCAGCGACTCCTTGGGAGAAAGATGAGCCATCTCCTCCTCTGTGATTTACAGCCTCTGAAAACCCACTGGAGGGTCAGCTAGGAGTTGGTTCTGACTCGGTGACAATGGGTTTGGCTTTGTTTGGATTTTGTTGTTGTTGTTGTTGTTTTGGGTTTTTGTTTTGTTTTGTTTTGTTTTATCCTCTTGAATCAGAGGAGCCCTGATGGCACAGTGACTAAGGGGTCTGCTAGCTGAAAGGTTTGTCATCCAAACCTACCAGTCACTCAAGAAGAGAAAGACAAGGCAATCTGTTCCCCCAAAGAAGCCGTGAGGGGCTGTTGAGTGGATTCTGACTCAGGGTAACCCTGTGACGTATGACCTAGTCCTGTTTCATCTGCACAGTCACGGCCATAATTGATCCCATTGTCGCAGCCACTGCACGGATCTCTTGAATCTTCCTCTTTTCTGTTGACTGTCTACTCTAGCAAGCATGATGTCCTTCTCCAGAGATTGTTCCTTCCTGCTGACATGGCCCAAGGACATGAGAAGCAGCAGCCTTGCATACTCACGTCTCCTGAACACGCTGGGTCTCCTTCCAACAGAGACGTCTTCACTCTTCGGAAGTCAGTGGTGTATGCAGCGTTCTTCGTCAGCGCCGTGGTCAGCACACCCATTTCTTCTGTGTTCCTCCTTAGTCGTGCATGGTTCAGTACTTTAATGCATATAAGTCCATTGAAAGAACCTTGGCTTGAATCAGGTTCACCTTAGTCCTCAAAGTGACATCTTTGCTCTTTAGTGCTTTAAAGAGGTGCTTTACAGCAGATTTTCCCAATGTATCATGTCTTTTTTTAAATTGCTTCTTCCCTGGGTATTGATTGTAAAACAAGTAGAATAAAGTCTTTTCTCTATTTATCACGATTTTGCTTTTCAGTCCAGTCTGAGAATTTTTATTTTCTTCAT